AGAGCCATTGTTATCATGAGCCAGCCAATCCGAATACCAATGATTGTCACTCAGCACAAGTTATCCTACCTCAGAAGCAGTTGGGTCGCAAATCAGACATGTAAATTACTATCCTGACCTTTCAAAAGTATATATTGTTTTCATTGTCTTGGTTGATGGTACAGAAGACATAAGTTTAATAGTGTGATTCTGTTAATCGATTATTGTTAATTTAGTCACTCTTAAGATTGATTCTGTAAACTTCTTTAACATCTTATGTGATTTGTTGCTTCACAGGTATTTGTTTTGTTGCTCTTATTCCCACAATGTTGCTCCCAAAGGGAAATTTATTGCGTTTGTCTCGACTGAAGCGGAAACTGATGACCCGGAGAGTGAACTAAAGCCCGGTATTGATCTTCTTGGGCCCGTGGACGAGATATTCTTCGAGACCTATGACCGATTCGAACCAGTCAACGAGCCTTCTCTGGACAATTGCTTTATATCAGCAGTAAGTTTATAGAGAAATGTTATTTGGATTTAATTACAAGTGCTTGATCGTTTTAAGGTTTCCAGTTTATGTACTTACATAACTCTTATGTGACAGAGTTATGATGCCACCACTCACTTTGAGTCGACTGTCGTGGATGTGCTGAATATGTATACCTTGATCACTGGAAAGGTAAGAATTTGAAATTCATTTCAGGATGTATTTTGTCTCTTTAAGCCTTGTTTGGTTCCCAAGATAAGATTATGCAATCTTGTGAAAACCCAATTGTATAATTAGATTAGAGGAGGTCCACAATCCCCCTAAAAAAGGTTACTGCACTAACCAAATATCAAATAAGACCTAATTATTTAATTAACGGTGGCTAATCTTACCGGCCAAACAAGGGCTTATTCTGCAACATCGTTTAAATGGCAGAAACAATTATATGGACCATGTAGAACTAAAAATCTCCTCAAGTGCTTAATTGAAATTTAAACATCTTAAGTGCAATTTGTTGAATTAAACGTCGATCAAATGGAGCCTTTTGAGTTAATAGTTTAGGCATTTTACTTTCGTAATGATCTGATAAGCTTTTGCTCGATTTCAGGTTCTTGATCTTAATGTGGATCTAAGTGCTGCGAGTGCTGCTGAAGAATGAGGAGGACTTTGTCGATTGTTCTTGCACTTGCTTGTGTTTCGTCCTGCTAAATGTTGTTTTAAGTATAAACCACTGATATAACTTTGCCTTTGTAAAATCGGAGATTTGAACAATTATTACCCGTTTGTTTATGCTGGAGCTGCTTGACAGTTGACATTTGTTTAGATTGTCTTCTGTTGTTCGTTCGAATTATTCCCTTGTGTTTTTTTATCTGTTCTGTTATAAGTACTGTTGGTTTAGTGTGCATTATGAAAAATTGTAAGATGAGTGCCATTGAGTTTTTTTGGGTTGGGTATTAGATATATCACGTGGATTATTATTTGATATTCTTTTCTTTTCAAATGGGGTAAATTGGAGCCACCAAGGTAAAATTAAATTATGAAAAGCCCCCTCGCATTTAGGTAATTACAATCACTTCTCAGTTACGAATCTTCTTACACGTCCACTGTCGTCGTGTCAAATTTGGTAAAATCTTCTAGATCATGTGGAATATTCTCCAGCTTGTACTCGTTTTACTTCAGTCGAGCTCCATACTTTGGAACAAGATGATCATAAGATTGTCTCTTGGCTTGTAAATATCAGATTATGGTGCATCATAAATTGTATTTTTTTGCACAAAATGAGTACAAACTATAAAATATTTCATGTTGAATTTGACATTATAAATGCGAACGTCTAAGAAGAGTCATTGTGAATGAGTGGTTGTAATTACATAAACAATGTTTTTTTTTTCCTTGGTAATTTGACCCTAATTTATTCTTCCAATTAAGACAACCCATTCAAAAAATTTAAATAAAAAACTTACAGTAAATATTATTCGAATTTTCTGTTCCTTGAAAAAGAAGAGGCCAATTTGGAAAGTTCAAACCCAAAATTAATGAATTTGATTATCGGAATTACAGTGGCACTAATTTGTAATTATAGAAAAAATTAAGAACTGGTGTCCCGTACATCAGCAGCAACCTTTAAAAACCCGGCCCGCCTCTCCGGCGTGTTCACCGCCGTGTGCCACCAGTTAGTTTCTCGACGCTCTGTGCTTACACCGACTGGAATATCAAACCTAATGTATTCCGCTGTATATAATTCCTTTATAGATGATCACAGAAACCCTGCATCTTACTTATTTCCTTAAATATATGCGCTAAGCCCTAGGACTATTTTGAATAACTACTGATAAATTTCCTCAAATTCCGTTTCCACTCAGCATTCAAATATATCGGAATAGGTGGTACTGTGAATCGCGTGCATCGTCGGAAAAAAATGGCAGTGGCTGCAAAATGGGCGTTCTGTGCATTCCTGGGAATAATGCTGCTTCACATTTTGGCCATTTTATTATTCACGAGGGGTTTCCTTCTCACTCGGTCCGAGCTCTCCCAGTATAGCCAATGCAGTGACGTCGACGAGTCTCCCTGCTTTTCTCCTCCTCGTGATCAAACTTCCAACGGGAGTTGTTGGAATAAACCCGTTGTCGATCGTCTTGTTATCATTGTTCTTGATGCTATTAGGTTGTCAATTTTTGCAGTTTTTACCCGCTGGAATTATTTTTATTTCTGTTAATTCGAACCGTATTGAGTGTTTATGATGAATTGCAGGTTCGATTTTGTTGCTCCCAGCACATTTTTTGCGGGTAAGTACTCTACGTTTGCAAATAGTACTTGCAACTATATTGCCTTTTAATTTTATTTTTAACGTATATTTGTTTGATTCTTCTAGAGAAGAAACCGTGGATGGATAAGTTACAAGTGCTTCACGAATTTGCCAGTCAGAACCGATCATCTAGAATTTTCAAAGCTATAGCGGATCCCCCTACCACGAGTTTGCAGCGTCTAAAGGTGAATAATGTCATTACTTTTTCCTAGTTGCAACGAGTGATATGCATATTTTTTCTCGACTTGTTTCCAAGGCCGACTTATATAACTGCTTCAGTACATGAGAATCTGATTTGAGGCACTCACGTGCAAAATTATTAGTATGCAGTGCGCCTCATTATTAACTTAGGACATAGCTTATGCGACTAATCTTACTCTTATCTCTTTCAGGGTTTGACTACCGGTGGACTTCCCACGTTTATTGATGTTGGAAACAGTTTCGGCGCTCCAGCAATTGTTGAAGATAACTTGATACATCAGGTATGACTTGATAATTACTTCACGATTAACGTGTTTAACACATATCCCGTGTTTATTTGTTATGGTTGTCTAACTCATAATCGTGCTTACAGTTGGTTCAGAATGGGAAGAGAGTGGTGATGATGGGGGACGATACATGGATTCAATTATTTCCACATCATTTCGTCAAATCTTATCCATTCCCGTCTTTTAATGTTAAAGACCTTGATACGGTAGGCTTCCTTTCCTTCAACTATGTTCGTACTTGTAATGAGCATTTGTTATGGTCTGAGATATACCCATGTCTGTAGAGTTAGTATTTTATTTGAAAATTCCTGATTGAAGAATATCCGTTACCTTTGTTTTATGTCCGTAGATTTTCTCCATGACATTTTCTTGGCCAGGTAGACAACGGGTGCATCACAAACTTATTCCCCGCCTTGTATGAAGACGATTGGGATGTGCTTGTAGCACATTTTCTCGGTGTGGTAAACCTTCTCTTCTTATCATTTCATCACAATCATCATTATTATTTGAACTTTTTTCTATTTAATTTTTTCGTTATCCGAGTTGAGATGAATTAAGATTACCTTTTGTCAGTTAAGACAATGGAATTTTATTCCTAACCACATTTTTGGATGATCAATATGAAAATCCAACTCCAAGAGTTGATAGTATTCTAACCACATTTTTGGTATGCTAACATCATTAATATGTTCGCTGTTATAATCTCACCATTTGGATGCAGGATCATGCTGGACATATATTTGGTGTTGACTCTACCCCCATGATAGAGAAATTAGAGCAATACAATGAAATTATAAGGGTACTTAATCTTATGCTAATATAGAAGAACAGCTAAATCCCTGCGTTGTGTGTGTGTGTGTGTGTGTGTGTGTGTGTCTACCTCTCCTTTTATTTTTTGATCTCATTCTCTCGTTTTAGTACGGTATTTTTATGTTCTTCAGAAAATTGTTGGAGTGCTTGATAGCCAAAGTGGACCTGGTGGTTTACATGAAAATACAATGCTTATTGTTATGGGAGATCATGGACAAACCCTAAATGGTGATCATGGTGGAGGCACTGCCGAGGAGGTACAGTGTTTCTTTAGTTCTTTTAAGGATATTTATTGCTCATAAAAAGTTTTGCCGACTAGACTGTTTTGTAGGTGGAAACAGCAATTTTTGCTTTGAGTTCAAAGAAGCCTTCTACTCCGCTACTTGCTACACCTGATGGTTCGTCTTGCCGATTGGATATGGTATGCCTACTCTTCGCAACAACTTTCTAGAGTACACATAATGGGCGTGTGAAGAAAATTGAGTGGTCACAAAATAGTTGGAAGTACCAAAAAACAACAGAGGATCTAAAGAAATTTCATAAGAACAAGCTGGCATGACGTTTCGTCGATCTGATAGTTCTCCTATTGATCTTCTTTCTACACTAGTCAGTGATTCTGATTAAGGCATTGCTTGCTGTTGAATCCTTCACTCAACTCAATGGATACCTGTGCCTTTTTCTTTGATTGGATAAAAAAGATAGCCTTTTAATTTTTTATTTCTTTTTAAAAGGAATAAACCTTCTTTCCAGAGTTAGAAACCATCATTTCAAGTTTCAATGTGAAAAGAAAAGAAACCTTGTACCCGGTATTCTATTATTCTCTACCAACCAACAAAGGAAGGGGATGCATGGCTCGTTATCACTCTTCTTTCCGATATTTTAATAACTTCCAACGCGGAATCAGTTTGATCCACACGCTTTTCTTTAGTCAATGAGTTTTTATAGATGCTGCATATTCTCTTAATTGAAGTTTTGGAATAAGAACTTTTGGTTGCATATCAAGTTTTTACTTCTGTCCAATATCGATTATCCATAACAATGAACATCTTATGAATAAGAAACTGTAGCTGTTCTTACTTTTATGGTCTGTTGTTATTTACAGCATGGAAGGAGGATTTGCGTTAACTCTATTCAACAGGTCTGTCAATTTGATTCACCGCTTCATGCTCTAGATTTCTAAACATATGTTTGTCCAACAAATTTCACTCGATCTAGCTTATATTTGCAGCTTGATTTTGCTGCCACTGTATCTGCCCTGCTTGGTGTTCCGTTTCCCTTCGGAAGGTAGATGCTACAAGAATCCTTTAAAGTCCTCTTCTTTATCTGCTTCTTACCTTTTGTGGTTTCCTCTTATGCTTCTTTCTGCATACATTGGAAACAAAAGTAGGAAATATCTTTTCAAGATTGGAGTAAATGACACCATTTTTTTTGTGCGATTCTTCCTTCCGCATCTCCTATCCTTACAAATGTTGCTGATATTTATCTGTGGCATCTTGCGTTTTCTTGTCAGCTCTTTCTAATATAACATAATTCCCTTATGCCTGAGTCTTGAGAGTATATTCATGATCATAACTTAAAGTGGCCTATGAACTATGATTGGTGCCAGTAAAGCAACAAGGATTAGTCTGTAATGAAGTGATCATATCTTACAAATAACACCTTGATCTACTTGGAACAAAATGGTTTTAGGGTGCCATACAAATTGTTTGCTCCAGTTTTTTTAGAAATATGGGATCACTTTATATTTTCAGTGTTTGCTGCCTTCATGCGATCCTGATATTATAAAAGCCCTTTGCTTGCCATTCTGTGTTGGATTCAGTGTTTATTGCATATTGATACTGATGTGTTTTACACTTTCACTCTCTATGCTACGTTTCTTTATGAAAAAGAAGTCCATGGAATGACTGCAGGCAATTGCGATCTTTTTTTTTTCTTTTTTTTTTCTCTTCTTTTTAGTGGGTTAAGATAATTTCATTTTTGACGAAACTCTAATAAGTTAACCTATTTTCAGTATTGGGCGTGTTAATTCTGAGCTCTTCTCCTTAGCTGGTGGTACATGGAATCAGGAAAGTTCACCCACCAGTAATGATCAAAGTCTATCAGAAATTGACAATTCAATGCAGAATTATGTTAATCTACTCTGTATTAATTCTTGGCAGGTATATATATGTTCCATACTGTTCTAATGTGATCGATACTAGTTCTTAACACACCATACTTCTCTACACATATTCTATGACTGAGGATGTACTTGTGCAGGTGAAGAAATACATTGATGTTTATTCATCTTTGTCATTAATTGGATTTTCGGAACAAGACTTGCTGCATGTATCAAAGCTGTATTCTGAGGCACAGGAGCTTTGGTCAAACACTTCGAAGAATTTTTCACTTGACAAAACTCAGAGGCTTTTTGCTTCACTACCTTTAATGCAACGACAACTTGATGCATATTCTGTATTTTTGGAAAGTGTTACTGACCTAGCACGATCAAACTGGACTGAGTTTCATTTGAAGATGATGGGTGTAGGCTTCTGCATCATGTTAAGTTCACTTTTTTTGCATGTATATCTTATCAGGACGCTGAACAAGCTATCTGGACTTCATTCTTGTTCGTCTGGCTATTCCATGGGACTTTTTGGGGTCACTTTTGCTTGTGTTATAGTGCTGATACGTGCATCGAGTTTCCTTTCCAACAGTTTTATTCGTAAGCACCATATATGATTTTTTTTATTATCTTTCATGGATTAATGAACACATATTTCTTTAAATCTTGTTTTGTCCTTTGTTTGACTCTTGTCACCATTGCTTATAACTTTTGAGATGCAGTGGAAGAAGGACGAGTGGCTACCTTTCTTTTGGCAACAACTGTAATATTTCAATTACGTTGTGCACTTATGAAGAAGATGATGTTTCTTGAAGTAGGTTTCTGTCATCATTCTTCTTTTGTGATCTTCACGTCTTATGCATCGATTGAATATCTAATGTGTTTGTTCATATGATCTATGGAACTTGCAGGCGCTTGTGCTTTGTCTTTTGGTTCCTTTACTCAGAATTAGTATTGAACTTGGGCAATTGAAGCAGGCTGTGAATTCGTTATTCCTAAAGGTTGATCCTTCACAATCTCTGGGAATCGACAATGACTCTCAATTCTGGATGTATGTTGCTGAAGTCCTGCCAACATTAGCTCTTATCCTCGTTGCGTATCTGCTGTACAAGAATATTGCTGTTTGTCCCTCTCAGGGCATTTGGAAGTATGTCGTTGCAGGAACTTTATTTAATTATATGCTCATACCATTTCATTGGGCCTCAGATAGTAGCCTATTGATTCTGCAAATGTTGCCTGATGGTGTAAAGGGAAACATAATTCCTCGAGTGACCTATGCTGCTGGACTTCTACAGCTTTCACTATTGACCATAGGTCAACTAACTTCTAGGAAGAGGGCTTCGAATTCAGAAGAAACTACATTTGTTAAATTGTTGGCCTTATTATCCGCATGGAGTTCGACGATCATTATTCTTTCAGGAAAGCAAGGCCCCTTGGTTGTCTTGGCATTGTTGATTGGAGGTGCTTTCTCCACCTCGATAGAGTTTTTCCTTGTTGGTGCTAATAATGATACGCAAATTTTGATTCTCTAAGTTCTGTTAACATTTTGTGCATCATTTTTCTCGTGTATTTTATATTTTGTTGGGGTTATCTTTCCTGAAAAATGAATTGTTGTGCATTATAAGTTCGTTCAGTGTTGTTTTAAATTACTAATACGTTTGTTTTTGTGTTAATTCTCTGTAGGTTGGTGCATAATTAGGTTATTGACATTGGAACAGGACGCCAAGAATGATTGTTCACTCTCTTATGCATTAGCTGTAACCCAATGGAGTCTTCTTGCTGTGTGCATGTTTTTCAGTACAGGTCATTGGTAAGCTGCCTTTTCACTGTTTTCAAGGTTTGCTCACATTAAGGCTTCTTGGGCCTCGTTTGGTTCCCAATATAAGATTAGTTAAGATAAGATTAAATAATCTAATGAAAAAACATATATATTATTGCACCATGGGAGGTCCAATAAATAATCTCCGTAAAAGGTATGCCGTGATAAAATAATATTTTCAGTCGACCCGGAAAATTATTGGGTTTAGTTAACCGTGACTAATCTTCCCAACCAAACGAGACCTTGGTTGATTTGATCCTGTGGCATTATGCGGGATCATCTGATACAATTTCCAAAATAAGATTTGGCTAGTACTGTAACTTTTTTCCCCCTCTTCTTAGATCATGAACTTTTGACATACGAAAACATACTGCAGGTGTGCTTTCGATGGCCTCAGATACGCAGCTGCATTTATTGGGTGAGAGCACATACTCTCTCTCTCTCTCTCTCTCTCTCTCTCTCTCTCTCTCTCTCACACACACACACACACACACACACACACACACAAGGCCAATGACATGATATCTCGACATGGGGGGAGGCTATTTTTTATCCATCTCAAAAAAAAAATGAATTTTTTTTTTTCTTGGGGGAG